TATCTTAGTAATTTCGTAGGGGTTTTGAGCATCTGTAAAAATGATAGGTTGAATTGATCCTTAATACATCTAATAACTCCCCAAGCTCAGCAATTAGTCAGCTATAGAATGAGTATGAAGACACTAGGTAGGCATAATTGCATATGTTCATTAAGAATCAATAGTAAAAGAATGATGCCTGCCTTTGTTTGTCAACAGTTACAACTGATCGTAATTTTGTGTTAATTTAAGGGTACTTTCCCTTCCTCTTGCTTGAACTCATGGGATTTTTAGCAGAATTTCTCTGCCTACCCTACTGGAACTCACTTATCATTTCTGATGAATTTAAAATCAGTGGGCCAGGGAAGGAGAGCAGAGATTGCAGCATGGGAGATACAACAGCGGGAAACAGACTGAAACTCACCCAAAATGTGAGAAAACCCAACCCAAAACCAAAGAAAAACACTGCAGCAAGTTGAACCTCATCTTCTAAACCAGAATGCTGCTGATCTTAACTGTGTTCCAGCAGTGTGATGCAGTTATGACAAAGGCAAATACAGTCTTGCCAGACAATTTTCTGCCAGACAATACCTACTTTGATTGCAAATCTCACAGCTGACCCTGGACTGCCTGCTTCTACATGGGTGACAAACACTTTGTGTCGGATGTGGCTGACACACAAATAAGAAAAGACCTTGTCCTCAGCTTGTAAAGCACCCTGAGCGTGCTGATGCTGCTCACCTCCAGAAATCCTGACTCAAGAGCTGCTGTTGCTGCTCTCAGCTGCTTCTCTGAATTGCTGTGGTTGGAAGCTCTGCATCCCCCTTCCTACATCAAAAACACCTTCTCCCCCAGTCACAGGTATTGAGGCATCTCAAGGCTGGTAGCTTTGGCTGTTAAATGGAGAATGTACTTTTTACTAAATCCTGAAGTTTTCCGTCTCCTGCAGCATTTGAAATCAGCCAGGGGGCAAAGGGGAGCACTTGATGCAGTGACATGTAACCACAATTTGGTGCTAAGTCCTGCCAAACTTTTCCTGGCAGCTTTGTAATACGGTCATGCCAAACAGATGATAAAAGCTGGCAGTTACAGGTGTATTTTGTGGTGCTGACAGGAAAAGCTACACTGAAAAAAGTAGTTTATTCCAAGCTCTTACACTGGCCTGTCCAATACCATATTATCTGCACCTCTGTGTTCTATGCCACCATTGTCTATATTTAGTGTATCACATTTTCATAGCAGAGGTGGTCTCTTACCAGTGATTACAGAGTGTCTAACACAGTGGGCTTGCAGATAGGAATAGACACATACAACTGCTATTAGGCAAAACTCTAATAAGCCCTTGGCTCTGACGTGTTCCACAACAATGTGGGCTCTTAGACACTCCTTGATTAAATGTTTCCGTACACACACACACACTCACATTTGGGATCATGCAGAGTCTAAATGGAGCACAGAAATCATGGTGTCACATGGGAAAAAAGAGAATTTGACATTTCCCTGATAGAGAACACTTAAAACTGTTACTTTTGGAGACAGTCCTGATATGAAAGGCTGAAATTTCAAAATATTTCCCCCTATAATAGAGGAAAAAGAGCGATACTGGGGGTCCCAAATGAAGGAAATCTAATTGCAGAATATTTCTGCAGGTAAACCTTCCTGTTTCAAAGCTCTTCTGAAAAGTGATTAGAACAGCCCACTGGGGTTCAGACTGCCTGCCAACTACTACTTTTAAGAAAGGTAGTCTAAATTCAGTGTTGCTTCCTTAAGCCACAGATATTTATCCATTAAAATTCCATAGCAGTGAAAATAGCCACCTTAAAGCCAAATGGCCCATTAGTTATGACTCTTTACCCCTTAAGCAATACTATGCACTTGAGTGATGATTTGCCAGTTGCTGGTCTTTGTAAATATGTAGGACTAAACCATTTCCACTTTATTCTGAGATTCATTCCTGTGGGAACAGATGATCAAATCCAGGCCTCATATCACTCTAACCATGTTTTACTTCTTCCAGCTGTTTGTAGCTTAAGAGTGTGCCCTGACAAAACACAACACAGGCTGCACCAAATCAAAGCCAGAATGTAAACCTGAGGGTGGATCATTGGTAGCACTATCACTCTACCTTCTTTTCCTGCCCCCACATATTCTCTTGGTCTTCTGTAGCTAACAGGGGTGACAATGTGGAGATGAAGTTATTTCTTTCTGGTTTACAGCATAACTTACTTGTCCAGTCTGCCCACTACAGGCTACTTCTGCTGCACAAGGGTTAGGTCCACTCAACCACTGAACAACAGGCTCAAAGGGCCATACACCAGGCAGGCAGGCAGGTTCTGCTCCTTCACCCACCATCAAATTTCAAACAGTAATCCCTCCCTTCCAGAGAACTCTGGCAGCAGCCAGGATTCAAAGCTATTTTTGCTCTGTTTGCTTGGCTGGGTTTTATCTGATGTAACACTTAATTGCAAGAAAACATTGGTGGAAAGCAAGCTGCCTTCAACTTTTGGACCACAATTTTCAGTGTTTTTTAGATTCCTAATAGGTATGCAATGGCACAGCCAAAAGTATAAAGAGGAGATAACAGTGATTTTGACCACCTTCCAGGAAGCATTACTGACTGGGTTAATGTTCTGCACAGAAACCTCTTCTCATTTCCTAGATGGATGTTACTTCTTTGCTAAAGAGGCAGCAGAAAAAAACCTATGTGTTATTTAAGTCCTCAAAATGAATCCAAAATGACATTCAAAGGGTGAGTAGGTGTTGTGGATAAGGATATTCTTCTTCTTATGCCTTTATTGGTGCAGTTTCCTACTCTGATGCAGCTGTTTTCTTTTTCATTTCTAGTTTTTTCTAACAGAATACACTGGGCCTCTTCTAATATATCTGTTCTTTTACATTCGCCTCTCAACTATTTATGATCATGTGGAAAGTAAGAAGAACTTCCGGCACCCAGTGGTTCAGTAAGTGACACTTGCATAAAATATTTACTGGAGGACAGGCAGTCAGGGAAATGGGGACTGCATTTCCAAGGCTGAGGAGGCTACAGGGGCTGTGAGGCTGCATGCCTGGTCTCAGAGGCAGTGGGAGTGTCAGACTGTTATTATCAATAACCGTTTTAGCAGCACTCACAAGCCTGACCAAAAATGGGATCCCAGTTGCAATGGTCACTGCACCTGGTCACAGTGGAAGATGCAGTATTTTCCCCAAACAGTTTGTACTCTAGACTCACAGCCTGGACAGAAGGTGAAATAAGAAACACAGCAGGTAGTCACCCAAAGTCATGCTTGACAGGGAAGAGAGGACAAGACTTCAGGTGTCCCACTCCCAGTCTCCGTACTCATAAGATGAGTAGCATCGGCATCCAGCACAGAAAATAATTACCTCCACACTAGCTCTCAGCTAGGCACAACAAGGAGGAATTCTGAGACATCTGCATGCCATAAGTCAGGTCAAGAACAACTGAGAAACTCAAGCACCACAGGAATTCAGAACTGGTACTCTAATTTTTGAAACTAACCTCTTCAAAATGTAGTTTTTCCTCAGGACCATACACTACATGTTTGTGTTCTGAAAGACGTTTTAGAAATAAAACACTTAAGTGACAAACAAAAATAAGAGCTCAGCTACTAGTATAGAACAGTGAAGAGAACAGGTTTTACCTAGCTGTACAGAAATAAATCAGAGGAGCTCATATTTAAGCGTTAACCAGATAGCTTTGCTTCTTTCCATCACTGGAATGCTAACAAGGAAAATGAAACAACTCTGATATAATACAGTAGGAGCTGACCACAAGGAAACACAACCTGCTTAGTCTGCTAGCACTCAAAAATGTGCCAAAAAGCAATAAAGAGAGGACAGACAGCCAAGATAGCTTTTTATGACCTTCAACAGCCCTTGCCATTCCCAACCCTTTTGAAGGACTCTGGAAGAAACAAAGCAGACCTGATCAATGAGAGGGATTAAAAACTCTTACAGACAAGAAAGTGGCAATCACTATTCATGATATTTCCCAGGGAGGTTCAAGGCACTGCCACCACCAACTGTAGCCTTCCACAGGATGGTGGCCAAGCAGGCTGGGAACTTTCACACTTAAGGAACTTAGTTCCCTTCAGTGTGACTGTCTCCATTCTGGGGGACTAGTGCCTGGCAAAGGGGTGGAACATGATCAAGAAAGGCCTGTTGGCTGCACGAGTTGGAGCACTGGAAGTGGAAGGCCACACGGGGAACTAGGAGCCTCAACAAACTGTGCAGCTTTCCCACAACACTTTTTCCATGCTATGATTGCAGAATCAAGGTTGCTGGTATACAGCAGAGAAACACGGCGAGTAATAATACTGTTTACAGGTGGAGAAACAGATACTTGGAAATACATTAAGGGAGTTAGTGAAGCTGGGAAAGAGAACACAGAATAGTTGAATTCAAATCCAGAGTGCAAGATGCTTGCCTTCCTTTTCTTGCTTATACACTTAAAAGGAAATAATTTCTGGTGGCACAGAAGAGCCAGCAATACCTTTACCTTATTGTAAGTGGGCAAGGGGTGTGCGGAATCCTTCCAGTGGCCACCCTTTAATGGGTTCATCTGAGGTCCTCATCCTAAGCCAAATTGATCTTAAAATTCCCAGCAAAGCTTAAAGTTTGCTCTAGACTTTTAGATAAGTTGTTAATTGTTTGAAATTTTCTTAGCTCAATTCTCTCTGGTTTAATTACTTTGAAATTGTTTAATCTTTGACTCTTTGAGATTTCATATACTGAAAACCACTTTTCATTTATATCTTATAATTGATTTGCTGTGAGACGGGCTCTGGTAATACGGTAAATGTAACCAAGATAAAATGCCACCAGGAATCACTCTTGACATTTGTTTCTGAAACTCAATCTCTATGAGCTGCAACTTATTCTCGGAAGCAAATCAGCAACGCCTGTTATTGTTTCATAATCTTCCTCAAAAAAGAAACAGTATAATAATTTCTACAACAATTACCTCATTTCATTGTAACGTGCAACAAAAAAGCCATCAGCATGGATTAACTTTGCAACAAAATCTCATTTTGCTTCTACAAGGAAATGAAATACAAACTACCTCCATGCAGCTAGTTGAGTTGGCAAAGGACAAAGAAACCATTCAGAAGATATTCAGAATGTTTTTAAATGTCAAATACATTATACAGGAGCATTAAAGTGGCCTTAAAACATGGGAGACATCTTTTGGAAAAGCATGGCAAATGCCTGCTTGTATACACAGCTGTCCTGTTTTAATGTCTTGTCAAGGCTGTGTATCACATTCAGAGCTCAAGGAACTCTTTTTAATTCAAGGCTAGTAAAAATAAGTTGATCCTTTGCAAAATGAAAGCAACTTTTTATAAAATTGAAAATTATTCCACTAATCTTTGCATCCAGATGCTTCAATTAAGACAATATCTTAACGAATTCAGTGTAACTGCAGTTTTGGAATATTAGTCCTTATTCCTTTTGTGACATTAAACTGTGAAGTAATAAAGAGCAGTTTCCACTTACATTGATTTCTCTTTTTTCCCTTCCAGCTTGGCCTGCTTCTGCCATTGTTTACACTACATCAGACATCTTCTGGAGACATTATTTGTTCATAAGTTTTCAGGAGGGCACACTCCTCTGAAAAATATGATAAAGGTGACAATATGTTTATCATTTACTGTAAGAGATAATATCCTCATATCAAAGCAGTCCTTGGAAGAAGACAGGAAAGTAAAAAATAATTTATTTCCAGCTCCAGGAATTAGTCAAAATATGAATATAAGAAAAAATTCAGGGCCATGTCCTCCAGGACACGAACTGAAATCAATGTCAATGTTTGCTTCTGCATGTCAATGTCCACTTTGACTCATCCACCCAAGGGGCTGAATGTCATGTCTAGGATATTTTTCAGACTGAATACTATTTTATTATGAGATATGCTGCTGCAACATCTAGTAATGCTGACAGAAATCACTCTCCACTTCCTTGGTGCCATATAAACACAGAGCAAGAGACAGGCTTGCATTAGGAAGTGAAAATCAAATTACAGGTGGAAAACAAAAAATATTCTCCTTCTATAGATGGACACCTCAGGAAGGTGGCCTAAAGTCTTGTGTCTACCAAAGCCTCCTGAGTTTTAACTGTGTGTTGTTACTTACAGAGTTCTCTTTCTCTTATTTCACATACTTAGTCTCAGTAATTTTGTATCACCTCCCACCCTGTTCCATTCAGTGTGATGTAAAGATCCTCCCTGTAAAAGTTTTGCAGTACATTTAAGATGTCAGTGAAGGAAATAGACATATGGCCATGTTAGGGGGCTCAGCTCAGTTCCAGTCAGGAAGGAGCTAATGAGATGCACAGCTAAAGAAAGCTAAAGAGCTTTGGAACCAGAATTCCATTTCCCAAGTGATCCATGCATGTGGGAGTTAAAGAGTCACAATTACAATTATCTCCTTGTGTATCACAGTGGCACTGATTAAAAGTTTAAAAGGAGAAAGCCTGGCTTGAAGCCCTACTTATGGAATAGAGCTGTACTCAGTGCCAGCACACTGCTCTTCCCAAGAAGGTATTGAGCATGGGACCTTTAACTTAGACATATAGAAAGGCTTTATCCAGTCTCCAGGATGGTTTCAATTCTTTGACTAGTGGGTTTTGTTTTGGCCCTTTTACAAAGGATGGGAGCAGTAAGCCCCTACACAGACCAAGAATATGATCACATTATCTCTGCTTGGGCTTCCCAATCCCATGACTTCAGTCATCAAGCAAAGGCAGCTGGATGCTTTTTAACAAAAGGATGAAATGGGCCTGGATCCATGGGAGCAAATAAAGCATGTAGCTCAAATAACTTTATAGGAACTGTTGCCCTTTTTTTTTTTTGCCAGGGTTAAACCAGGCCAATTCAGTTCTACTCTTGTCTCAGCTGGTTTAGCATTCTGTTTGACTAGCTCTATATGGCTTGGAAATGTTGAGATTAGGGTATAGTAGCAGTTTAGCTGTGTTAACCAGCCCTAGACTTCTGATAGTACAACTCAGAGAAATGTGCCCTTTAGCAGTGGAATCAAATAAGGAGAAAACAAATGTCAATTTCTACAACAGGCATAAAACACATTTAACACAAGCCAAAAAATCTACACTGTATGCTATTTTATTTTTTTAATTCAATGGCTTCGTAGCATCTTAAAAAGATCTATATTCTTCAACTCAAAAAGCCACTGCAAAATCTTTCAACAGTCATCCGTATTTAGCATTTACCAGAATTAATAAAGTTATGGTTTGTACTTTTTTATTGCCCTTTCTAACAAAAACCCCAAACCCTCTGTTTTGTCCATTCCAGGGCTGTGCCTTTTACTGGGGATTCACTTCCTGGATTGCATACTACATCAACCACCCACGATATACACCGCCATGTATGTATAAGTAGAACACAAACCTGACCTTATTTTTAAAAAGTTTTTTCCATGCAACCTTAAGTCCTCCAAAATCAATAGAAGGCTCTCACATGAGAGCATATGACTAATCTAGCCAGAGATTAGCCTTTACTCAATGTCAGAAGGAAGATTGTTTTGTAGTAGGCACTCCTGCTGTGTCACTGAACGTACATTCCTGTTCAGTCATGGTCAATCACTGTCTAGTTTTATGAACTGGAAACATTGGCCAAGTGGGGAAAACACAAAGATTGATATGTGTTGTTCATCTTCACAGTATTTGTATTAAGAATGTAGGATTGAAGCAGAGCTGGCTCCATTTTCTTGGAGGAGATATATATTTGCTAAAGGTACATCCTTTCAATTAAAATAAAGATTATTTTTTTTTTTGGTGAGAAACCAGAAAAAGTTAATCAGATAGTGCTGCTGATAGTGAAAAAAATCCTATGATTTTGCTTCCAGATTTCATTCATCATTTTGTTCCTTCTCACATTTCATTGTTATGCTGCTGTTTCTTCAGGTTTTTTTCTTGTTCACTCTTTAAACTTCTGCTTCTTTTAAGCATAATTGGCATAAATTTTGTTTCCTGCTCCTTTACTTTCCTTATTACACCTTAGTCTTTCTCTTCCTCTGCATCTTATCTCTGAGCTTTGGGAACAAAGAATCTGCTTTGCCATTTTTATTTACACATAGTTAAATGATGATTTTTTTTTTTTCCAATAAAATATTTCTCCTACATGGCACTTGCTTTCCTTTCAAAATAACACACAAGTTCTATTTAAAAATTATATGATTAATTGAAAGTCGAATTTGGTGTAGCTTTAACAGTGATGCTGCAAACAATGTTGAAACCTCCCTAGACAGTTTTTAGCAGTCTAGGCCATCAAATCAGTAGGTGCAACTTCTTTATAGAGGAAACCAGTTGTCAAGACACAGCTTTCCAACAGAGAAAGCACTCAAAAGTTCTGCTTCTAATTGCTTGCAACTGCCTTAAAATGGCAATAATAACTATATGGGACTAATGCTGGAGGATCAGCAGCCCTCTGGCGCAGTTAGCTGTTAGTAAAACATATGTGATTTGTTTTGGGTGCAGGAGAGGTGACCTCCACAGCCATATCCAGAGACTGCTGATATGGGGACAGGTAAGGAAAGGCAAGCAGGTAGTTGCAGAATGCTATGGAAGATTTTTAGCATGTTCCCTTGGCACCTCAGAGGAGTCATGTGCCTGATAAAGGGTTCTCAAAAGTCGCTGAGACCTGGTCAGAGAAGTGAGGTACATGCATGTGGTTTGTGTCCCTCAGAATTGTAAACCTTTGGAGGTGAACATGATACAGCACTACAGTGGTCTGGGGACAACTGCAAAAAGGAAAGAGCAGGCAAAGGTCAGGTAAAAACTGCAAAGGCTACATGCATTTCTAGTATAGTGCAACTGTGAGGCAGATAGTGCTTAGGTAGTAAAGCCTCTCTACTGCCTCACTACTGGGGAAAACAAAAAGTTATGGGTAGGTTATGTCTTGGGTTCTCTGCTCATGGAGATAGAAGGGCCTATGGATAAGGCTGCGATTCCTAGCCTGGTTCTGCCACTGACATGATTCTGCTCCTCAGCACTAGATTAATTTCACTCATAGCAAGACATGTGCACACTGTAAAATGCAGTTTATAATTTCATTCTATTTTCTAGCATTTGGCTACAGACAAGTTTCTTTTGCTGCCCTTGCTTTTCTGGTACGTACAAAAATAAAGTTTTATTAATGATCATGGAATCAGAGTAACTCATCCTCTACCAAAATGCAGTAATGCTGTTATGCATTTGTACATATAGATGTATATGTGTGTGTGTCCATGTCCACAGCCCTGTGTCCTTTGACTGGATTTAGTGGAAATCTATCAAGATTTCTAGGCCATGGAGTATCCTCCATGGAGAGTCCTAGTACTATTTACCTGTAAAAGTTTGATGTGAAGTACTGTACCTGAGAGCCATGAGAACATCATCAACATTATTATGACTCATAAGTGTATTTATATTTAGACAGATTGGAACTTGCCAGGTATTTTAATACAAAAGAATTACATCTTAAGCAGACTTTGCAGTAGTACTGTGCACCTGGAATAATTTAACCTCAACAGCTATTAAAAAAAATAAAAGCAACCCCTGCCAAAGTGAGTTAAGCCAAGGGACAGGACAGGTGAGGCAAGGGAAGGATGGCTGAGGCTACCAAACCTGATATTTGAATGAATATAACCATATAGTGAGACAGAGGTTCACTAAGAAATTGTCACATGTGAATGTTGATTCTCTGTGGGCACTGCTCTTGGAAATGCTCAGTGCTGACTTACCCAAGAAACATGGGTCAGTAGCCAAAACAGTCAGCCTTATTGGAAATCAGATACAGATCAGTTTCCAGAAATATAACAGGGAGATAGGACAGTAATGAGTCTAGTCTCCTCCAGGCAAACACTATTCAGAAAAGCATTTCAACTTCTTAGCAAAATTTAAATGCTTTTGTAAATCAAGACCCATAAAGATCATGGTTTTGGCAGTGTATGTTTCTGGGATTGGCCATGCAGTTCTCAGCTTTTCCTAGCCTAATAAGGTATAGCAAAGACAACAAAATACTCACATGAAGTTCATGCACTTAGTGAGGCTCTACAGCTGAAAGCAGTAATCCTGGACTGTGGAGACAGGAGGTTGTGGCAGTGGTAGACTTTTGTGAGCCCAGCGCCTTACTGTCTGCACCCTTACTAAACTCAGGGGTTACTTGAAACCAAGCAAACCACTTGCCTGAATATTCAGTGCTAACAGTAAAACCTTGTTGAAACCTCTGCATAGAAAAAGCCTTGTTTTCTAATGAAACATCCTTCCTCACCTCAATGTAACACAGCCTGCTATAGCTTTGATGGATAATACTGCCATCAAACAAAGAGATGAATCTTTTTTGGGGTATTTGCTATAAAATATGGCCATCCCCTTCAGATCTGCATCAACACCTCATATGTGGTCTGAATTCCTCCAGCTCTTTTGATAACTTCCTACCCATGGAAACTCAAAACCTTCCCCTTTCAGACCTTGTTCTGGCAGGTTCCCCGACAATGAATTTAAAAGACTAACATAAAAAATAAAATAATTTGAAGCTGTTTTCACAGGTTCCTAAAGCATACAAATAAAATATTTGGAAGATTATTTTTCCCCCCCTCTTTAAAATCTTGTCTGTATTACATATCCTGATTGAAGTGTATATATCTGCAGCTGCTGTAAACAACAGTACTGAGACATTTGAAGCATGTCAGCAGGCACCTCTGAAAGATTCTCATATATAGAGAAATTATTCTAAGCTTTACAGGAACGTTTTTCTCAAAGGGTACACATGGAATATAAAGAGAGGGAACAGTATGTAGACTTCAATATTCTATCATTATTAATATGATGGGTCTTTTTCTGTTGTTTGCCATTGCCTCATATTTGACATCTGAGATACTAAGGACTAGCGTACATTTAGCAGTGCTTCTTGATATAGAGCATTAGCAGCCACATTGTTAAAGAAGGACATAAGTGTAGTTAAAACAGAATATAAAAATCCCTGCAGAATTGGCCTTTACTTGTTTTACTCGGAATTGATTATAAAATTAGTAGCTGTTAACCACAGTAAAACTCTCTTGCTCCACAATGGTGTGGGCATTGCACATTTTAGTATGTATAGTGTTTCACAAAAATGCTTTTAACTTTAAAACTTTTTTCTTTCAAATAATAGTAATCATAAAAAATCATGTTCCTAGCTCATAATTGGAGGCATGTAAATTAAAATTACTTCTACTGCTATGGCTGGAATTACAGCTTCTGATTGGTATTTTATAATAGAATTTCCTTTTCTGGCTATTTAGTGTTTTACATCTGGTGTTTATGATAGATGACAGCCAGTTAGTAATTAAAAAACATAAAAGGGCTGCAGGGTTTGCTCCATGAATACATTTCCATGCAGAAAACAGTTTTGCTAATAGACCTGACTTAAACTTTCCTAACAAAACCCCCACAAGTCTTTCTGCCAAAAAAGGGGAAAATTCTTCAGCAATGTTATCTGCAATGTTCTTTCAGATAATGGCACATTTCAATATAAAATTAAGTTACATATTCCTTTCAATTAGTTTTATTTGAAGTTTGTTATGGATGACTTTCAGAATTAGCTTAAAAAAGTTACAATTGTATTTCTTTCCTTTTTCTATTAATTTTTTGACTTTATACTTTTAACATCTCTAGGTTTTATCATTCTTCCTTTTTATTTTAATTTCTTAATTTTTCCAACTTTCCAAAATTTAGAATGACAAATGACATAAGAAAACACAACTTTTTAACACTGTATTTTTTCAGTTTGAAAAGAGAAATCATTCTTCAAACACAGAAATGACCAAAAAAAGTTCAGTCTGAGATTGTAATGTAAAATGCATTTTGGTTTTCCTCATAAAGCAGGGGGAAATGAAAACCATAAAATTAGACTGTTGGACTAATAGGCTTTCTCTTTCAGGAACTGGAAGTGGTTTTCCTCCAAGTTCCTACTTTAAGTATGGGTAGTAATTTGTTTTGATTCTATAGTAGTTGTAATTGAGGTACTGAAGCCATAAGGTAATCTGAAATTACAGTACTACCTGCTGTATAACCAAGTGAGGAGACGTGGTACCTCTTCCAAAGTTTAAATCATCTAAATATTAAAGACTAAGTTTGAAAGGTTAGTTAGGGCTGTAAGTGGCATAACCAGAGTAGCAGAACCAGGAACAATGCTGACTACCTTAATTTACTAGTTCCTGACTGCTAACCATTTGACCGATCTAACCTCCAGAGAACTGCTGCCTTTTTATTCACTCTATTTTAATTTCCTCTATCACTTACCTAGAGAACTAGTTATTGTGCTCTATAACCAGCAGAACAAAGGTGTTATGCTGAGAAGCTTTAAAAGCATGTGTAGGAAGAGGGTAGGCACAATAACTCACTGCATTTTTACAAAACCAGTGGTCAGTTTTTCACCAGCTTCTTTCCAGCGTGGATTAAATCCAAATCATGACAATGATGTTCAATTCAGAAAGTATCTTGCTAAATTCCTTAGACCCAAGGCAGCCTCTCTGATCTCCCCAGACCAAAGCATGTTGTGCATGATGGGCATGGGAACCACAGTGAGGGCCTGCCTGCGCTGAGCTCTGTGGAGCTGAAATATGGGCTTTCACCCGTGGCTGTGCCTATAGTGCTCACTAGACACTTGTGAGTTTGACAAAGATCACAGAATACATTTCCCCCGGGAAAGTCATTTAGAAGTACATATTTTCTGTATACAGAGACTAAGTTGTAATGGGGGTGATTCTGGTTATGGACTGCAACTGCCACATTTTAAGCATACAACTGAAAATATGTTTTTAATGTCCTGCAGATGTGTGAAGCTGGAAATCACTTTATCAACGTAGCTTTAGCTCACCAAAGTCATTCAGGTCTGTCTTTGTTTCCTGTTTGTCTATTTAAAACTGAACTGTACTTAATATATCCATCTTCTGCTGGAACACAGTAATTTATGTATCTACATCCACAGAATAAAGAAAGATGAAGCGTGTACCATGCCATCAGTATAATATCTTCAAAACAAATGTGATGTCAAGGAAACACTAACAACACTGTTGTTGTTCCAAAGCTTATAGCAAATTTGTCTTAATTAGACACAACTGTAATTTAAATATGGATTTAAGTATGTAAGTTCTCTAAAGCATCCTGTTGACTGACAACAGAGGACTCAATGTTAAATAAGTTTCAAAAACTTTTAAACTAGATTGCAGAGTTTTTAGGTAGGTGCATCTCATGCAAAGATACACAGAGACATGTACAAATACACAAACGTAGACTCATGAATAACTACCTACGCAGTCATCAATGTGTACATATGCTGTTAAAAGGCTGCTCCAAGCATGAGTTTTCAGTATCATTTGTATGATGAGAACAGAAGTCATACTACATATACTAGAAAGTAAAATATATTTTCAGATAATAATAGTATAATCTCCCACTATACAACCCTATTCAAGAAAATACTTCACCACAGTATGATCAACATTGCACACAGAAGTCAGTTTCTATTCTGGAAAGCATTTGATGTGCAGTGGTTAGGCAGGTGCTTATGTTGTTTTTTGCAAGGAGCCTAATTTGGTTTAAAAGCAGCAAGAGCCAGATAATTAATCTACATTGTCAGTGCCTACAAGTATTAAAGAGAGCATTGTTGCCAGAACACAAAATAAAGTGTTGCATGTGTGGCATTTTGTGTGAATATTATCAGTGGCTGTAGAGAGTCATCCTGTTAGCTCTGGAGTTTTTTTCTGTTCTACCCTGGGATGAAGAATGAGGGTGCGAAAGGGGACAGTTTCACATTGCAAAGTCAGCCTAAATAAGATACAGCTGCATCCTTTATATCCCAGAAGAATACCCTTAGCCCTCAGCTGCTGGATGGTCTGCATTAAACTACATGTCTGTCTTCTGCTGAACAAAGTTTGCATCCTTTGGACATGCCAGACTTTTAAGTAAAAACTGATACATGGCTCACTAAGTGCTCACTATTCTCACAAGGATAAATACAACTTTTGCTATGTCAAAAGATTTCACTGAAACTTTTCTAACAAATTGTACTCTGGGAGCATTGGCCAGGGGATGGCTATTACATAGGCCAGTTGTGGTAAGGCTCAGTTACTCTCTCTTTGTTGAAACTGGTTTTGTCTGAGTCTTTTTTTAATTTTCTTCTATTTTGCTTTCATAAAGGAAGTAAATCCTGTTTTCCAAGTCCAACCTACAACCCCTTCACATGGCTCTTCTTTCTGGTTTCCTGTCCCAACTATACATATGAGGTACATGACTTTTTTCTGATTATATGCAAAGAGTAGGCAGTTACTGTTTCAGCCTTTGCCTGCAGAAGGTCTGCAATATCTTGATGCGGTTCCCTCTGTGCATCAATCATTATGCTCAGTATGTCAGAGTCTTCTTACTCTGGCAATTGTTTCTCCACCAGAACCTTCTCTTCTCTCACATCAACATCATGACTCTTCTGTATATTCCTCTCCACTACAGACTCCCCGGTGATCCAAAGATTTACCACCCATCTCTTCACCCCATGCAGCACACTAGGGGGTTCCTTTCTAGCTATTTTTCCTCTCCTTTCCCAGTACAAATACACGTTCTTCTTCAAGGGGGAGCTTTTGAAAACTTGCCCTTTTGCTTTACAGAAAGTAAACAATTAACAGTGCCTTTTCTTTACAACAGGTTGGGTCTTGGATTAGTTTCACAGTGATGACACAAACCCTGCCAGGTGAGTTTGAAACAGAATAAAGATAGCCTCTAAATTGTTGTTTGCAGAAGTGAATTCTGGGAATATAAAATTTGTCCAAAATTTTGTAGCATATGAAATATTGCCATCAAATCCCCCTTATGACATGATTGTATAAATCTTCAAAGTGCAGAAAGTGAGAACGCTACTGCAACACCTTCTTTTGATCAAAACCAGCTCTTTGTTTTTTGTGAAATAATGTTGTCTCTTCTGCTTCCACAGTGAAAGCAGACTTTGAAATTTAGAAAAAAATAAAAAAAAAAGTCACTATTTTTCATTTACAGTCAGTCATTTTTTATATAAGAAAATTTCTTTGCATTGTAAACCTGGAATAACACTTCCAATATAGATTAGAAAACAGATGTACATAGTATTTCAAGAGAGGAAAGTCACACGTTCCTGGTAGCATTTCCCCGTTTCCTTGTAGCAGGCAGCCACTTCATAACAGCAGCTTGCCTAGTAGCATTTTTGCAACTCTTGCTCAGTACCTTCCTGCATCCTCAGAGACCTAAATACCCATACAAATATGGTTCTTGGGACTGAGCTCTCCAAAACTTTCACTTTTAATTTTTTTTCCATTCCAAACTAGAAACCTATAAAAGCTGCTCACAAAAAGTAGCCCCACATGGTTTACAAATGAGAAAGGAATTTCAAAAGTGGATTAAACTGCATTATGCAAAACTAAAGCTTCTAATTTTGTTTGAAAAGATACAACGTTTATGTGCTTTACGCTCTGGTATGGAAGTAACCTAAAAATTTGGAGACATTGTAGGCCTGCATTTACAAGGGAAGGGAGCAGCAACATACACATACACACTCATTATCCCAAACAAAACTTGACCAGATGCCACATGAATGTTTCCGATCCACCAGCTTATTTTAAGGAAGAAAGGATAATGAATTTGCAAAAAGCACCTGTAAAAGCATTCCCCATTTGGTGTCACTCAGCCCAAAGGGAGAGATTCCTGAGGGATCACTTACTGCCTTCTGATAACCACACCAGGGGCCTGGGTATCTATAGTTGTTAGGCTTTGCAAGACCTTGCTGCCAGACAGCTAAATGTATTCGTGCATCTCCTGCTTACTTGCTCCAGGGCCAAGCTCTTCCTCCATGCAACAGGAAGTTGCAGCATATTTCCCTGTTGTGGTTGGGAGCCAGAGGTAAAAAAAAGGTGGCCAAAAGCAAACCAGAAAAATAGTTAAGGCCCAAGGAGGCCTTGTGATTTATGGCGAAGCCATAGGTGATACAGGGTGTGTCTAATAGTTCTGAACATCATCATTTGTGTGAATGTTGATGTGGAAGCTGAGCTTCAGGCTATGATATATCAGCAACTGCAAGGATGGGAGCACAGACAGAGTTAACTTGTCTCTACCCACAGAAAAGACTGCAGGCTTTTCCATAAACCCTCTTGTATTCACAGACATTGAAGATGACATGTAATCTTTTTTCTTTTTAATGTTTTTCTTTGGTAGTTGGCATTTTTGCTTTCCTGATGGTCATCCAGATGTCTCTCTGGGCGCAAAAGAAGCATAGGTTGTACCTGAAGAGATTTTATCCAGAGGTGCGGAGAAAAGCAGCTATGATTCCTATCATCTTCTAAGCTCTTCACAGGAGTTGGAGCCTAAGTGTACAGTTCAAGAGCTAACTCAGAGTAAATAAACCATTTCATTCAGTAACCAAAGTGGATCAGAGGAAGAACCACTGGGTATCTTTTTCAGAAAATTAACAGTTCAAGAAGAAGAGCTTTTAATTAAGTGAAAAAACTGTAGCTCTTGAATTCTTAGTTCCTGCTAAAAGATATGATTTAATTAGATTTTCTGTAATAGAGCTAATTGGGAAGGGACAAGAAAACTGCTTATATTGAATGTTAGGCTAGATATTTAGCTGGTGTAAATGAGCACAGATGCTGTTAAAATTAATGAATACAGCTCATCTGCATATATTCAGATCTGGTGATTTTAAGGTTCAGTGTTAGATGTTGACAAGAGTCTTGGATTTTTGCATCAGAAGATGTTTCGCAGCCTTATTATTATTAAACTGCACAGAAACAGCATGTTCTGCCTCAGCACCTCTAAAGCATCACATCAAAGAATGACCGCTATGCTGTTAACACAGTTTAGTTTAGCTTTACAAGGTTTTTCTTTCTTTCTCTTTCTATAATCGAATCTCATAGCAAATTGTTCAATACATATTGGCTTAAATTTATCACTGCGGAGAGGCCTGGCTTTCTTCTATTTTCAGGTAGGTGGATCAGCCCCACAATCCCAGGAGAAGGCTGTTTGTGAGGTGCTTCCCACCTTGCCACTAATTTGCAGCATAACCTTGGGTACTTCATTTAAGTCCATCCTTCTTTCTCACATTGAGCAGTTTTGGAAATAACAGAAGACTTTCTGGGCTAACAAGCACATTTAAAACCCCTGTTCACTGCCTGACTGCACCCAGACACCATTCACCTTACTTGTGTCAAGCACTGTGAAATTCTTGGGCACAAGGTGAACCAGAGAACAGCTCATTATTGAAAAGGAAAAGGACTCTGCCAAATGCATTTCAGTCCATATAGCCTCAGGTGGACACTGCTGAAAGGCTTCAGCTCCCCTTTGATTTGGTGAGTAGCTATCTGCTACTTTGCTTTCCAGGACGTCATTTTTTAAGGGATTCTGGGCTTGTTATTCAAGTCCTCAATACTCCATTTATCTCCATTTGCAAATCAGTTGCATCTGTGTAACGCAGAAGCACAGTTTTAGTTACACAGAGCCAAAGAACCAGAACCGCTTCAGTAAGTATTAAGATATGGAGAGTTAGGGCATTAAGTCAAGTTTTCTTTCTCTTTCTGTTGCTCATTTATCAATGTCTTCTGGCTCCCTTAGGCTGGTGAAAAAGCTTGCCTAAAGAACTTTATAATAATTAGAGAGACACCAGAGCACACAAGCAAGGCAAGCAGTTTTCCTCCTAAAACACTGTTATCTTTGTGCCAGCTCAAGTGCTCTAACAAAGTTAATTTGCTCAGTAAATTGGGTTCATATCACTCTTCTCATGTCTAACTTGCAACATTATCCTATTAGCCACTGTAACTCAATTTCATCTTGGTAATATAAATAAATAACTTTCCATATTTTTAACTTGTAACCTGTGGACACCTAGAAGTTTTTATTGCTCTCAATGGAAAACCTGAGTCACAGTGAACATCCAGTTCTCTAACCCAGACTGATAATAAACACCTATATTTGAAAAAATATTTTCGGTTCTCTTTAGTCACTTATACCTGACAACAATATTTTTGAAACTCATTTTTTCCCCAGCCAGTGTTAGACGTATGAGTGAAGACTGTTGACTACTTTCTACATCCAGATACCGGGATTGTTTTTGTTTCATGTTTATTGAATATCTCACTTTTTCAAGTTTAAAAAAGTCCATATTGGAGGGTAACTTGCCAAAATTACTTACTTATCTGTTAATGCCTTGATTAAAATGGCTGCAGCTTAAAGTCTGTTCAAGACGTGTTTCCAGAATGATTCTAACTGCTGGAGCATGGTTCCTATTCAACAGTTAGCTTAGGCAAAGAATGTGCTTCAGGAATCGTTTACCTCCCTGGTTGTCAGTTGGTCATTCACTATAGGGCATGGGGGGGGAGAAGGGTTTTGGCTCCTGTAGTATATGAGGGGGTAAGACCAAACACTAGGCAAGAATAAATGAAGACATGTTACAGAAGGCTGTCTCAGATAAACATGGCATATATTTTGAAATTCACCAATGGGTTGTTGACCAGCTAGAATTGGTTTGGATGGTGTTAAGTGGCTTCACAAATAGCAATAAATCCAACTTCCCGCACCTTCACAGATCTTCCAGTATTACTCCCCCTTCTCTGATTTTCAGGGCCAGTTCCATTATGATTTGAACAGTTAACTTAACTTCCTGGCACGGGGGTGTGGGAAAACGGAGTAAATTAGAGACCACTTCCCCCAGTCTCTCAAAGCTATAATATAACACTAAGGAAATCTTAGGGTAAAATGCAGCTCCTACTTCCTGGGTGGGATGTGGATGGCATACATGGAATCTACCCTGTGGTATTTCCCCAGGCAAGCCTGCAAATATACGAAGACACAGGAACATTGGGCCTACTAGACAATAGTTTTGACAGGAACTGTGTAAAAATAACTCAGATGAAGTACTAATGGGTCCTTCCTGGCCTGCTCAACAATGACTGTGTGAGCAGCACTGCTTAGCCTATGGGCTCAAAGCATCTCTCAAAATCTTCACTTCATGGTAAACCTGCAGAGTTTCAACATCCAGGTCCCTCCATGTTCACCTTGCAGCTTGCAACTGGGTTTCTGCTGTGATTCTCCAGATGGGTGGGTCTCATCTTTCCCAAAGTATTTCTGAGACTTTCAATTCAAGAACCTAAAGTTAAGCCTTCAGACTCTGCATCTCTGCATTTCTGTGGCCTGCTCTTGCCTTGAAATGCCAATCTGGAAAAGAGCAGGCAGCAGCTCAGGCCTCCTGCTGACGCAGGGAGGCATTGTGAGAGAGCACCAAAGTGGCAGATGATCCTGTACTCGTCTTGGCAGCCTATGTCTGGATATCCAGTTTGAAAAAGGCCTTAAGACCAAGCCTTATAAGATCGTTACCACATTTTTGCAGCAGACAGAACCGAAAATTATCTCAGTGATTTAATCTTTCCATAGAGAAAGTAGAGCTGGAAAAGACACTGAAAGCAGAAACGAATATGGGCAGATGGTCATCCTTTTTAAAAGATGCTATTATCACCAAAATATCTAGTATTTTCCATTGTTTTGTATAAAGGAAGCTATTTTAAATTGGCTTTTATCACACTAGGAACAAAGATAAAGCAGCCTGATACCAAAGCAGTTCTCTGAAAAAGAGCCTGCAGTGATAGCTAAATATAATAAAATAAAAATCACTGAATGTGAAGATTTCTAAAGCACACCATAAGAGGAAGAATGCTATAGGAAAGCAAGAGACTATTTAATTATAGTTTACAAAGTGCTGCTGAACTAAAAATTAATTCAAACTATAAAGTTTTCCAGCAAGCTAATATTTTCCACATGATGCTTTGTTAGCTTTCTTTTTCTGTTTTCCTAGGCACAAGTTTTGTCTTCCAGCAGTATTCCCTGTCATTAACATTCATGAAAGCTTTTAGAGAAACGCACTGTATTCCTGTTCCAGCGTTCCATAGGCAAATGTAAATGAAATAGTGTTGTCACTACACACAGATTAGTATCTGCATGAATAACATTTTATTATGAAAACCCTGGTTTATCATAGGTGAGTGTATAATGGCTGCTCTATATCTATGATTAAAGGCAATTTTCACATCACACATGTTTAGCACCATGGAAGAATGTTTATTTTAATGGTCTCTGCAGATCTTCACCCATATGTGATTCAAACATACAACTCTTTCTGCAGGTATCAGAACCAAGAGCCAAGCTGCCCAGGGCCTTTATTATGGTCCCAGTGTCTAGTTATTTATTTTCTAGCACACCATAGACTGGCTCTTACTCAGCTCTGCTCTGTGAGGACATCTGAGAAAACATTTCCATATCCATCTTGTTCAACTGGACAAGCAGTTGTCCAGGTGAGGAGCATCAGTCACTGCACGAATGAAATAATCCACACCGAATTTCCTTGCAATGTAATAGTCAATCTAAAAACCTCTTTACCAAAGGAAAAGAGAAGTTAATGGGTCCTTATTGCTGAAATTAAAAAAACTCTACCACGTATTAACAGCTCCATAATACCCAGGTTTCTAACGTATACCTGCTTTTATCTAAATTCTAAAGCCTTTGAAGTCTGAAGAACCAAGTAAGAGGAAATCATTTAGAGTTAAAAGAAAGATAAGTGTATTCAATAATACTAATGAATTCTTTATTTAAAAAAGCAAACTTCGTATCTTTTGTAGAAGAAATCTGATTGTTAGCCAGCTTCCTCCTAACACACAGTATTATTGTGTGAAAAATTCCTATAGCTCTTCCAGTGATCCCTTTCATTGTTCTGAATACTTAGTAAGGAAGACTTTAGTTTTAAAATTACAGATCTCACCATTTGGGGGCTCTTTTAAAGCACTATAGGACAGGCTCTGAAGAAAACAGACTACATCAAAGAGTCTTTTCCTCTTACTTATACTGAAAAGTTGATGAGTTTTCAGTTGAGTGGTGAAACACCATGACGCTAACTTACAAAACAAACAAATATCTGAAAAGGTGTCCCTCTCCTCAAAACACAAATAGAAAAAAAGGCACTTTTTGTCTTTTCTATTAATGATAAGAGGCCTTTCCCAGGTTCAAGGGCAACCTTGCAAAAGGAAACTGATTAGAGTACTAGAAGGACAAGAATGTGGTACGCTTTTAGGGATTAGCGGCTATGTCTTTTTGGAAAGAAATTGCACTCTTTCTGACAACTGAGCTTGACAGAAATGGATTAAAGATGACACATCTCCAATGTGGTATGTAATGAAAAACAAAGCATCTATTCTTAAACCAACAGGGAATATTTGTCACATATACAAACACTGCATTCTTCCACCCTCTCGTTTACATCATTACTTTGCAGAAGGTGCTTTGCTTTTGGACTTGTACATCT